ATTTCTGATTGCTGCTTAATAACGCCATGGAACACAGTTTAATTAAGCCAAGCTATAAATAGACTTTATCCTTCTTTTTCAGCCTTCTTTTTGACTTACACTGTTATTCGACACCTCCTTGCTTATTCTAAATAAATGCAAATTGAAGGTTACTTGGCTTGGCAACCAACACATATCCACCCTCGAGTCGCTCTGTTAAATCAGACTTTATCCTGCACTCTCTCAAGATTTATCTGATTTGTGCCTCTTTGAAATAGAACATATAATGTTTCTCCTGGTACACAGAAATACATTCAACACAACCAATAATCGACTGGGCAGCACAGATAGGATTTGACAGACTAGCAACACCGCGTCAGAAGCATTTGCATGTTCAAAAATTACATGCTAATATTAAACTGCCTAAAGAGCTCCATGGAGCAAAAAAAAAATATTGTGGGTGTTTTGAGAAAAATTGTTCAGAATAGACTGGTTCTTTTTTTGCCCCTGTGGGATATTTGAGACTAGATTAGTTATGTCCCTGTCACTAGACCAAATGTTGCAAAAGACCACCTACTTCTGTGGGGTTTTTTTTTATCCTACAGTCTACAGCTATAGAAAATCTAGCTCTCCAGTCCTGCCTTAAATTAAGCATCAGAGTCTCAGTTGTCATTCATGAGGGACTTTGATCTTTTTGTGAGGAATGCTCCTTCTCTGGCAGGGTTTCTTCAAGGGAAGCCTTCTTTCTGCTCAGGAGTTTCAGAAGCCTTGGAAAAGTTTCTCTTTTTGGACTAAAGTAAAGGGCAAAGGTTTCCCTTGGCATTAAGTCTATTCATGTCCAACTCTGGAGATTGGTGGTTCTCATCCCCATTTCTAAGCTGAAGAACCAGGGTTGTCCATAGACACCTCAAAAATCATGTGGTTAGCATGACTGCATGGAGTGCCGTTACCTTCCCTCCGAAGCAGAACCTATTGGTCTACTTAAATTTGCATCTTTTCCAACTGCTAAGTTGGTAGAAGGTGGGGCTAGCAGTGGGAGCTTGCCCCGCTCCCCAGATCTGAACCACTGACCTTTCGGTCAGCAAGTTCAGCAGCTCAGCGGTTTAACCCACTGTGCCCCCGGGGGCTAGAGCTTCAAAAATTATTATTATTATTATTATTATTAACTTTATTTATACCCCGCAAAATCTCCCGAAGGACTCGATGCGGCTTACAAAGGCCAAGACCACCAACAACAACTGTATACAAATACAACAATAAACTCAAAAGGAAATAATAAAACATCAAGCAAAACAATAAAAACAATGACCCTTGACATTAAGTCTAGTCATATCCGACTCTGGGGGGTGGTTCTCATCCCCATTCTAAGCCAAAATATACTGGAAACTATAATTCCAAAAAGAAAATTTCCAGCCTCTGGTGCTGAAAGACCCAAAAATACGACAAGTGAGATATGTGAGATTTTCATTTCAAGGGTATGGAGGTGTTTTTTTTGTTGCTAGAATTCTAAAATTTTGAGTTCAGAATGGAAATAATGAATGATTATTTTTAAATCACATGATTGAGAAAAAATACATCTAAAAGATTCATTTGTCCAATCTCAGGGCTTTTGAGTTCTTGAATATTAAATGTCTAGAGTGTGAATCCAGGTATATTCAGCCAGTTGGAATTGCCTCTTCTTTTTCCTTCTTAGAGGCTGATCAGCTGTAATATATAATATAACAAGCAGGTGCAACATGATTCTTTCTCAGTTGGGAATCTGCTTACAGGATTTGGTTAGTAAAAATGAGAGAGAGAGAATTTTGTTTCAACTGGTTTTGAAAAAAAATACCAAACTGCAAAATTATTTGTAACTGGGACAGAGGCGAAACATGTCTTCCTGTACGATGACAAAGAGATCAGTCACTGTGTCACGTTTAGGAATAGGGAAATTAACTAGTTCTGCTCTCTGCTGCTGGAGATGTTTTTAACTTGAGGCTTCCATATTTGCAGTTTCACTTACACCTAGAAGAAATTGGTTTCTCCAAGGATTTGTTAGGTCCTCCAGGCAATTCCAGTCCCAGTTGAAAATAGGTCATACTCTGTGTCTGAGCAGTAGCAAATCTCATGTAAGAAATAATATCTATAGAAGCAACTCAGGCTGGTAGGTTTAGATATGAGATACAAAGAACGGGAGTAGATTTGGAAAGGAATCTTCCAGTTGTGTAGCTTCATTGAAAACCACATTTAATAATAATAATAAAGTAAAACTTTGCTTGTCTTGGTTTAAATGGTTATTGTATGAACTGTGGACATGCTGGCTACGTGATCTTGGAGGTGTCTATGGACAACCTGGCCTTTCTACTTAGAAATAGAGATGAGCACCACCCCCCAGAGATGGACTCGACTAGACTTAATGTCTGGGAAAAACTTTATCTTTACTATGGACTACAGTTGAACATCCAGTTTTGTGCCTTTCAGTATGTTGAATTGGGAGTAGTTTGTGTTCCATTTTGTACTCATGTATAGTCACATACAGCGAGAACTTAATAACTCTGGAATCTGCAGATTGCCTAACTGGGGGAGATATGGTATCTGTAGGGATTTGCTAGGTCCTCCAGGTGATCCTATGGTATTCTTCCTTTATGGCAGTGGTTCCCAACCTGTGGGTCCCCAGATATTTTGGCCTTCAATTCCCAGAAATCTTAACAGCTGGTAAACTGGCTGGGATTTCTGGGAGCTGTAGGCCAAAACACCTGGGGACCCACTGGTTGAGAACCACTGCTCTATGGTATTATACCATAGAGGTGCATTGGCGATCCCATTAAATTCCTAAAGAAGATACCTTTCTAGGAATCTTTAGGTCCTCAAAACAAGTCTGTGTTATGATGGGACTAGAGGTAATGTTATTTACTGGCATTCGGTCAGAGCCATACATTCAGGTAACCCTGGTCCAGCCAGGAACCTGCTCTTGATGGTTAGTAGGGTCTTGCTTCTTTTGGCCAATTGCCTTCTCCCAGAAACTGCCCTAGAGAGCTACCTGATAAGTCCTTTTGCCTGATTTACTCTCACAGCTTTTCTTGCACATCTTTTGCCTCTTCCTAAGTTCTCTGTTAGCTGCTAAATCTGCTGGCCACCAGAGAGCCCTTCTCTGTCTGCAGTTTCTTCTGGGACCCTTTGACCTACAGTTACCTTAGCATCTGAAACTGCAAGCCATAGGAATGTGCCAATGAGAGCCAATATAATGCTCATTAATGGCCTGTCGGAATTTTTGAATTCTCCTGTCTTAAATATAAGCTGGCAGAACTGACTGAAAATCGCTGCCAAGGTGTGTAATGGTTTCTTTATTGTAACTGACAGTTCCAGTCTGGCTGTCGTATGCCCAGTTTCAGAATTAGCATTTAGGCTTCATCCAGAGCTGACATTTTTGCTCTTACTCTCAGGTGTTGTCAAGGGTAAGTCAACAGGATTTATTTAACTAACACACTATATGCATATTTAGACAAACATTTGGATAACACCGTTATGGTTTTAGCCACTTTCATGAACTCCTAATGCATTTTCTCCCTAAACCTGGGACACCCACTGTACATAGACTTGAAAAGAGTAGGAAAACATTGTTTTAATTTTTTTAAACTGCGATTCTCGCAATTCCCCCAGCCAGCAAGACCAATGGATAATTCTTCTAGACTCTATGGGTTGATTCTCATTGTTGGAAGAAAACGTTCAAGATCTTCTGCCATTTCTAACTGGATCATGCCTGCCTTCCCATTCTCTTGCTCATGTGGAAACGTGTTGTCATTTGCTCAAAAGGTCCACCTCTCACCATCCCGTTGGCCCACTTCTGTCACAAGGAGAAATAAAAGTCTCTCTTGATGACATTTCATATTAGTTTTGGGTCCCTGTAACTTCACCGGTGTCTCTCATTTCTTGTTTTTGACACTGCTGAGCTCTAGTCTGTCATTTTGAATTTATACTGCTCTACACTCCTGACTTATTTTGATGATATAGCTGCCAAGGCCTATGATCCCACTTTCGGGTGTTCTCTTTATCACTTTGTATCATTTATGACACAAAAGCAGTGATCCATCAGAGAACTTGCACAATATACAGGACAGTCAACTCTCCACATTTGCTGGGGTTAGGAGCACAGGGTCCCTGTGAAATTGAAAATCCATGAATAACAAAATTGCTTTTATTTACCTGAGAGAGCACCTCTCTAGGAATCCTTAGTTCTGGAAGCTGACAATAGAATCATGCTGGAGGACCTAGAGCAGTGGTGCTCAACCTGTGCGTCCCCAGAAGTTTTGGCCTTCAACTCCCAGAAATCCTAACAGTTGGTAAACTGGCTGAGATCTGTGGGAGTTGTAGGCCAAAACAGCTGGGGACCCATAGGTTGAGAACCACTGACCTAGAGAGAACACTTAAATCAAGTCCATGAATAATCAGACCTGCAAATATAGAGGTCAACTGCAGTTTGAATGTTGGTCTGGGACTTTGGAGGACCAAGTTCTTCTACTCCCAGCTTTACTGCTGTTCCCCCCTCTCCCCCCTCCCTCTATATAAAGTCAAGCAAATGGCTGATTCCTGATAGTGCTTCTAAATACCTAATAGGAAGTGAAAGGTTTCTTGGATTGTCATAATCACTGCCATGTTATTGGTAATGATTAGCAGTATTGATGCAAAGAGTGTGGAGATGAACAAAATCAATTCTATTCCTAAGTAAAATCATGCCTGTGATTCTAAAAGATTTTAAAATGCTCATACAAAAAAATTAAATAATTAGCCTTATACAATCTGAGAAAGCCCTTCAAGGTGATCTTAAGGACAACCCCTAGAGCCATTAGATTTGAATATCTGTTTGTAACAGATCTCTGCATAGCCCTACATTTTGTTATTTCACTCCCATTTAACAACTGAGAGTTTAAGCAATTCATTCAGGGTTGGCCTAGAAAACCAAGCTCCTGGAATCAAGGTATTGACATAGCACTAAATAAGCTCTTAACTAGCTGCATCTCATGTGTGTGGTGTTTTTTCCCCAGGGCAAATGGCTACTGTAAGCCAGAAATATTTCCTGGAAGGACAGACATACTCCGTTCCCCTCATCCAACCTGGCCTTCGGAGGGAAGAAGCTATTCATCAAATAGCAGATGCACTTCAGTACCTGCAGCAAGTCTCAGATGATGTCTTCAACAGGTATGGTTTGTCCACACTGAAGGAGAAAAAACAGGTGGAGTGGCCTTTGTCTTTAACATTTAACTTAAGCCCCCTCCCCCAGACTTTGTGCATTTAATGATCCAAAGGATGGTGGAAGCTAAACTAGTTGACTTAGGTTTTTTGTCCTGTTATGGGTCTTGCTAATACATCAATATTATGAAAATAGAAGTTCAGTTGATCCATAGCTCATATTCAGACCAAAGAATCCTAATGGTGCCTTTCATGAGATAGGTGATGTATGGATTTGGAATTTCCAGGAGACTTGACTAGGAGAATAGGTAACACCCACACTAATCCTATAAGATCAGGTTAGCTTACTACTAGCTTTGGGTGATATGCCAACTGCAACCATTCCTAGAATCAGAAGACTGAAAGATGGTAGTGTGTGTGTTGATAATCTCAAGGTTGGACTTCTGCAATGCACTTTACATTGGGTTACCTATATACCAAATTCAAAAACTCCAGTTAGTTCAAAACATGGCAGCCAGATTGGTTATGGGATCACCTAGGAGTAAGCATGTTACACCCAAACTAAATCACCCTGCTGTCTACCAATTAGTTTCTGGGTGAAGTACAGGGTTTTGGTTTGGACCTTTAAAGTGCTACATGATTTGGGTCCAGGTTATGGACAAGATGAATTGAATCATTATATATGGTTTCCTAGTAGCTCTGCCAGCAGAAAGCACAAGTTAAGCATATATCTCTTATGCCCTCTTCTATAGAGAAATGGAATCTAGTTTCTTCCCCAAAGAAAATGAATAATAACACTCTGATATTCTAGCTCAGAGGTGGGTACCTGTGGCCTATAGTAGGGGTCGTTAAACCTCTAACTGCTTAGATTTGCTTATTGCAATATGGACATATTGACTTTCCTTTTGGGTGACCCTTAGTCTAAAATTTAGGGTGGAGGGCAGGTAGATGACCTTGGAAGGTTGCATCCTGCCCGTGGGCTTTAGTTTAGGGACCCCTGCCCTATAGAAAAGCATGCCTCCAACTATAAATGGCTCGTAAGCCGCAGTTTGACCTGGAAAGTTGCCAGTCTTTGTCCAAGGCCTTCATGAACTAAGTTGTTATCTGTAAATTAAGTGAAAACAGATATCTATAGCAGCCCAGGTTTGCATCCTCCAGAGTTGTAATCCAACACATCCAGGTTAGTGAGGGTTGAACTACAGCAAGGGGAACATTTATAGCACTAGTACCCTGTTTGAGACTTGTCTGCATTTGCTCCTGCAACTCATTTCTTAGGGAAAATGGCAAAGTTTTGTTGTCTTACAGGATGAGAGTATGTTGCTGCTCTACCCTGTTATTCAAATTATCATTAAGATTCAGTGTGTTTCAACACCTGACTGTTTTCAGCATTTTGGTATTCCAATTTGATGTTGTTCTTAAATGTTATACTCTTGTTTGTTTGTTTGTTTGTTTTATATTCCATGTGTCTCCTGCCTTGTTGTAAGGTGGCATACAATGAGTTTAAACAAGATATAACTAAAAACCTAACAGAAATTAGTTAGCATGTAAAATCTAGAATGGCCCCCTTGTGGCGCAGCTGGTTAAACTGCTGAGCTATTGAACTTGCTGACCGAAAGGCTGGAGGTTCAAATCAGGGGAACGGAGTGAGCTCCTGCTGTTAGCCCCAGCTTCTGCCTATCTAGCAGTTCAAAAATGTGAGTAGATCAATACGTACCACTTCTGCGGGAAGGTAACAGCACTCTATGCAGTTATGCTGGCCACATGATCTTGAAGACGTCTATGGACAACACCAGCTCTTCAGCTTAGAAATTGAGATGAGCATCAACCCCCAGAGTTGGACACAACTAGACTTAATGTCAGGGGAAACCTTTACCTTTACCCTAAAATTTAGAATGTAACACAATATAGAATCATTTTATATCATTACAATATAGATAATAATATATCATGCACCCCTCTTTGAAAAACAAACAAACCCATATCCTACACAACCCATTAATCATCAAATGCCTCTTTTAAATAAAGTTTTTTTTATTTTCTCTCAAGCACAGTGAGATTCAAACAAATCTAACTGGTAGCAGGGCTGTCAAAAGACAAGATCTTGGAATGCTACAAATTCATTTTGAGGGATGTACTGGACTGCTTTCCTAGTTGTAATTGTACTTTTTAAAGGGAAGATATGATTTAGACTTGAGGCATTTTTGGGTTGTGGGGGCTGTCTTCAGTGTTAATTTGAAGCAGTGTTAGCTATGGTAAGTTGTTGTTGCCCCAACAGCTATACAGACTGGGAGATGCTGCTGTCATATTCTGTCTTCATCCACATTAAATCCACAGTCTTGGCTCTGAACTGTTTCTGTACACTTTTATAAGCAATCAGGAGTCTTCAAGAGTCCAGCCACTATTTTGTCAAAGAAGGGGCTTCAGGGCTTGTAACTGATCGTCTGTTTCACCTGACCATCCACTAGGCGTGTAGCTGGGAATAAAACAAACCCCCTTCTATTTAGGATTCTGCTCCTCCAATGAAATGCCCCTTCAATCCCCAAATGTCTAGCATTGCAGAGAGTGAGACATTGAAAATCGTTTATATCTGATACTCTTATATTTATTTACTGTGTTTGCATTCCCAGGGTAAATTTTCTATTCCATTTTCTTGAATGCCTAACAATATTTAAAAGGCTCATCTGAGGTTTTAAGTTACTACAATGCGAGATATTTTGGAACATAAGGAAAATTTCATGGATGTGGAGAGTACCCTTGATTTGGAGTGTGTGCTGCGATCTTCCCATCTCTGTAGCCATATCTTATGGCCCAGTGGCACAAACATCTCACACAATTAACAATAACAGGAAAAGAACCCCCCCCCCTTTTTTTTGTACACTCTTTGAGATCAGCAGTAATTTCTTTCTTCTTTGGTAAAGAGGTAGCTCCCAGTCTAAACAAGCTGTTGAATATGATTTAAGGAACCAGTCTTTTCAGAGAGAGTGGCACCCTTCTGATGTCTTTCTGCAGTCAGGTTAATACTTTTATTTTGGCAGTCCTCTGAAGACTGCCTGCTCAAGGGGACTAGACTTTGCAGAATTGTGCTGTACCATCTACCCACAGTATTGTTTGTTTGTTCTAAATGGTTTTATTTGTTGTTGTTGCTGTGGTTGTCTGTGGGCTTATGGCAGCCCCATGAATGAGAGATTTCCAAGCCATCCTATCATCCTGCTCGGGTTTTGCAGACTCAGAGCTGTGTGATATTGTCTCAGTCTTTTATGGAAAGTTCCGGCTGAATTTGCTCTAGAACCCATTTTTTATCTTTTTGGCTGTATCCATAGAACTCTTCTCCAGAACCCTTCCAATCAGCTTTCTTTGCTATTTAAAATGGCATGGACCATCCTAACTTTAGTACTTAATGATATACCTTTACACTTCAGGGTATTGTCCAGTTCCTTCAAAGCTTCCCTTCCAAATCCTAGTCTTTTTCTCTTTCTTGACTGGGCCAAGGTTTGGAAATCCCTGAACTGTTTCAGTGTCTTCGTTGTTTACTTTAAAATTATGTAAATCATCTGTATTCATTATTTTAATCTTACAGATAGTTTAATAGTATTGTTAACTTTGGATTAGCTATATTTTTGAGCTTTATGTGTGCTAACAGTTGTAAGATGTCTTGAGGCCCAGACTGGGGGAAAGTTGGGTATAAATAATAGTAAGATTTCATTTATTTCGTGATGCATATAAACCTTTTAGTACTACCTTCACATAATAAGTATTCATGTGTTAGGACTGCATGATGGTGGCAGGTGAAGCTTTTAGGTGACAGCAGCATCCCACTTTGTATTCAGCACCTGAGGTCAGGAAACCCTGCTTGGTTAAAATAAAATGCTGGTTTCATGATTAAACCAAACCATTATAGCCAAGGGACTCCTGGTCTCTTAAAATATACTTCTGATACCTTGTTTCCTTCATAGGATCATCATGTCTGCTGCCACTTCATATGCTGTTTAGGGAAAGTTGGACTTTGAATTAATAAAAGTGAAGGCATTAACTACTGAAAGCACAATTCAAACTATCCTTCAGCACATTAAATACATGTACTTTAAAAATATAATTAGAGTGAGCACTTGCCTGGGGCTAGTAATCCCTTCCATGCAATTAAGTTTGCTACTCTCGTTGAACTGCGATGTGAATGTAAACGTGAGTGGAGGTGGAAAATCATCTTTGTCATTGAACCAGGAATAGGGATCAAGTGGCCTCTCAAGAACATTTTTATTATCCCCTTCCTGTGCTTTTTTTGAGGTGGGGGGCATGGGATGGTGATTATTGTCTTCTAGAAGTCTCCAGTAGACGAAATCAAGTTAAAGCCCCAACCTGACATGTAAATTAGATTTATGAGAATAGTTAGAAATTGGCCTAAGGACCCACCCTGTACAATGGGAGCTCTTGCATTAAGCAGAGAGATATGGAGGCCCTGTCTGTGGTGGACCTTTAAGGAAGAAAAGTCTCAAATGTTTACCTAGTAGCAGTTCTTGAAGGATAACTTAGTGTGCTGCTTCAGGCGAAAGGTAAGTAAGTGCTCCCTCCTGCAATCCATACAAAATGGGAAACCGGGCTGGGAATTGAACTTTAAGTCAATTCTGGTAACAGGCCAGTATCCTCCGTCACCACTCTTGAGCTGCCTCCCACCCAACATTTTTGATCTGTGGCAGATGACTCATGTAAGGCTGGCCCTGAAGGGCAGTCTTTTGGAAGGATTCCTGGAATATGGTACAGTATCTGATGGAGAACAAACCCACATCTCTAGGGCATCAACAGCCCCTCTCTTGCAGAAGTCTTATTCTTTGTGGTCTTGGAGGCACATGCTAAGGTGAACCTTCTCTCTAATTTCTCTCAGTTGGATTGCCCTCCCATCCTTCTTCCACTTTTGCATGCCAGTCACACTCAGATCTTGCCACTCCAACCACAGCACTGCTCCCTCACTCTTGAGTGCTCTTATGGCTTGTAATTACTAATTCTATCCAACAACA